CGAGCTCAAAAGGAGGATTCCCTCTGCCCTCTCTCTCTCTCTCTCTCTCTCTCTCTCTCTCTCTCTCTCTCTCTCTCTCCCTCCCTCGGGTGTGCTCATCCTCTACAACCTTTCTTACCACTCTCTCGCTCACTCACTCTCTCGTGCTAGGTTTTTCACTCTCTTTCGCGTTGTTTTTATTCTGGCTTCTTTTATCGACGATGTTGCGAGCTATTGCGCATTCCGCGATCCCAGCCAGCGAAACGACAGATGTGGACGAGGCTGCCGCATCCCGACGAAGGAGTAGAATTTTATTGGCACTAGGCAATTTCTTGATTCGATCAACTGGATATGCTGAGAAAAAGGAACAAGTGAATGGTGAAATGAGTACCGGGAAAATACGTAAAACATTCGGTGGAAAAAGTCTGCCTTTAAAAGTCTGAAACTTTACATTACAATATTACACGTTTTACGGTTTGTGGGTAGATCTGTGAAAGTATCTGCTCTACATTTTTTTTTTTTTTTTTTTTTTTCATCTTCTTCAAGGACGCTATTCTGAAACGAGAAATTTTATATTCCGATGCTTGCTTGTTAGACATGGAATATCAAGGTCAGGCCGTATTACTTGAAAATTGAAATACGCCCAAGATATTTATACGAAAATGTGCCATTTTAGTACTTTTTGAGTATAGGCAGCAGTTGGCAGACTCGCCGTCTCAACTGAATTTTAGAAATTCAGAGCTATTAATTGCCTCGGATAGTAATTATTTATGTTATTTGTATTGCCACAATTTCCATTCTTTAACAGCAGCCTTCGAGCAATTTCCTATGAGAAACATGTTGATTATAATAAGGAAATTTTTTTTTTATTTCATCCAGTAAGTTTTTGTTAAATCGCCATGTCGATGAGAGATTTAAACTATTTTTCGATTCATTTCCCTGTCGATCTTCAATCCAATTTCCAGTCAATTTTCATAGTCAATTTATCATTTATTTACGATATCACAATTCCACAGGACATTTAACAATTGTCAAATCAAATTATTTATCCACGTTAGTCATCCGTTATTATCCGTAATCGACTTTCTATCGTAATATTTTACATAAAATTTTATGAAAAGACACGTTGTTGGCTTTGTTCATAATTTTTTGTTTTATTTTGTTCTGTTTTGTTTTATCTTTTTACCTACATTTAACGCATTATTAATTACTTTTTTCTTCTTTTAGTAGTCATATAATGTAAAATTATTTATAATATTCTACCTTAGAGTTCTCTTTGTTTGTTTTCTCATTATTATAAGAATTAGCCTGATAATTAGTAAATTAATAATTACGATAATCGATTTGATTTATTCGCTACCGAATCATCAAGCATTTTCAAATGCATTAGATTTCTAAGCCGACAAACCTCCAACTCGTAGAGCAATAAAAATAACAAAAATATAAAAAAAAAAAAAGAAATAAAAAAAAATTTAACTTCAAAAGTGAAATATTTTGATTTATTCATTTACGTAATATTAACAGTAACATTTCCTTACTTTACAAGTTACAGTTGTTTTATAAATTATTCTGATACCTTTGTTAATCCTTACTCTACAAACATGGATTTATTTTTACAAAATAAAAACGTGCTTGCATTCCTTGTATAATCAATAATTTTAATAATTTTATTTAAAATTTTTTTTTTAATTTTTCATTTTTCTTTCTTTTCTTTTCTTTTATTTATTTTTTTTTTTTTTTCATTTGTATTTCTTTCTTCATACAAATGGAAGGATAAAATATAAATAATTCGTAATGTAATCGAGTGTTGTAAGAGAGCATAGCTTATGGTCATTAATTATACTTGGTCCGAGTAATATCGAGCAAGTGCAAGCTTTTGCAAGTTTTAAAGTAGCCTATTCCTTGCTTCTTATAAGCGCGCAGCTCATGCCGATTATTATAACTCTACCAACTATTTGAAATTCAATATGATAAATTACTATGATTCGCCGATTGAAATTTATAATGATGAGCGAGATGCCTCCAAATTAACGACAAACGTAAATTAAAATTATTCATCTTGGTACAATCTTAGTGATCGACGAAGGAAAAGAAAATAATAAGATATGATCATTATTAGTCCGGCCCTTCCCTGATAAAATTAAAAATTATAATAAGGTAACAATAATGGCGGCCTTCGAAATAAGACAAATCGGACAAATGATATAAAAATACGATACAAGTGGCGAAAAATCTGAATCGTACGAGTGAATATCATACGAACGGTCCTCATCTGTCTCCTTTGTAGGATGTATGAGAACCAGGACCAATAGCTCGATCCAATCTGGATAATCATAGCCAGTTAACATGCGATCCGGTGGCAGGGAGAAGCTTTGCACCTGTTTCGGAAGCCGCATAGGTATATATAATTCGGGGGCCCACCGTCTATCATCATTTTCCAGTTCAGCTCACCTTCTCCTCGTCTCCTATCCTGCGGATGCAAATATGTGTGCCTGCTTGGACCGTAAAAAAAAAAAAAAAAAAAAAAAAAAAAAAAAAAAAATTTATTTTTTTATAAATTTAATTAAAATATATATATAAAAAAGAATGAAAAAGAAATAATAAAAAAAAAAAAAAGGGAAAAAAACAAAAAGAAATCGACGTGATCATACTCAAACAGGTTTGCATTTAAAGGAAAAAATTTCGATTATCTGTGATGTAAGTTTTACGATACAAAATAAATATTATGAATTTAATGGAATAAGAATTACGGAATACGTTGTAACTTGAGATAGTGGAACATTGTGTATAATAAAAGTACGAGGAATTTCATGTGTTAAGTAGCACTTTTTATTCATAAAAATATGTTTAGATAACCTAGGTAATGAAATTTTTTATTTACAAAAAGTAATACAAACACTGCCAGACGCAATTTTCACATACGCAATCGAATGATGGACGACGTTTTATATGTGTATTGCATACGATCATTTGCTTAAATAAAAGCAAAATAAAATCTTCGGATGATAAGTATTTAATGCACAGAGAAAAGAAAGCAATTATTACATGCGTATGACACATTACGTCTTTCTGACATAATCGCTAATTTATTTATTGCGTTTAATTTACTTAAATACTTTTTTTCTTTTCTCTGTGCCAAATTGAATAGTGAATTTCTAATGATTACAAAATAATAATGCGATGACAATATTTTATTCGGATATATATACAAGATATTTTTATTTTTTTTTTTCGTAAGATATAATCAAGTATAAAGTTACTAATTGTATACAAATTTAAGGTTTAATACGTATCGTAAAAAAAAAAAAAAAAAAAAAAAAAAAAATATATATATATATATATATATATAAATATATATGGGAATAAAAATAATAAAAAAAAAAAAAAAAAATAAAATAAAATTCTTCTCCAAATTTATACATACGCAAGTGCGTATGTGCGTATATATGCATACGAACTAAGAGAACATTAATTAATTATAACGAATTTGTAGAACAGTTATCATGAGCATTAAAAATGCTTATCTACCAATAAGGCATTTTTAATATTTACATATAAACCTCAAATTTTTAAAATTATAATAACAATTATTAAAGCATATTTAAATTCTAAAAATGACAATCAGTCTTGTCGGGCGAATCATTGTCATCATCTGTTTTCGTTAGCAAATAGATAATCTAATAGATTCTTCCACCTTTTCCTCACTTATTAATGATAAATTCGTCGGAAGGCTAAGCAAAGTTTTATTATTGATTTACTTATGTATATAATCAATTTCTTTCGTTTATTTATAGAATATATCGCTATTGTATAAATATTGAATACATTGAGATGAAATATTTCAATTTAATTCAAAATACTCGTAACAATATAATGTAAGTCGTTTAATGATATAATAGTTATTTCTATGAATTTATCCTTTTATGATTTGTACCAAACCTAACGATCTTCTGTACTCTATAAGAAACTTAAAATATTTATATCATCATGATACTATTTTTAATATCATCAAAAAACATAACATCCATTTTGTAATATCAAATTCAACGTTTTTTTTTTGTTTTTTTTGTTTTGTTTTTTTTTTTTTTTTTTTTTTTTTTTTGCGTGTTTGTTTTTTGTTTTTTGTTTTTTTGTTTTTTGTTTTTTTGTTTTTTGTTTTTTGTTTTTTGTTTTTATTGCATTTATTTATTCATTATGAACTAAACTGAAATTACTTTATTCTTAAACTTTATGTAAATTATTAAATTTTCTAACAACGTGTTTCTCTTCCCAATTTAAATTTAATGTATGCATTTATTCATTTTTTCCTCCTTGTTTATTATTATCATTTATTTTATTATTATTATTATTATTATTATTTTTTTTTTAATCTTTTTTATTTTATTTATTTATTATTTTCATTTATTATAAATACTTCATATCGGTAAAATATTTGCTGTTAAAGCAGCTAAAAAGAATTTGACAAATCATTCGTACTAATCATTACATCAAATGAATTAATCAAAATCTTAATCTTAAAAGATTTCAATAACTTCCATTAATAACGTAAGAGTAATAATCTCATAGAACAAATACTTTCACTACCGTCTCACATGCACGTACATCGTATCGGTTTAAAAAGAAAAGAAAAAAGAAGAAGAAAAAAAAAAATAAAGAAGAAAAAAAATTGAATTCTATAAATTTTGGATAAAAGCTAAAAGTAACAGTCGGATAATCTGCAAATAACACGCGCACTACTCGAATTCTTAAACTCTGCACATTTTGACAATTTTATTATTATTTATTTATTTATTTATTTATTTATTTATTTATTTATTTATTTATTTATTTATTTTATTGCTCGCCAATAATAAGTTGTCAAAATTATCGTTTAAACAACAACGAAATAGTGCCGATATATTTAGATAAGATTATTCTATCGAGTCTATTCGATGGATTCATTAATGTATTTATTCATCTCCTTAATCTTGCATCGGAGATAGAGTGAAAGAAGAAGAAGATTTCCTTTCGTCAGCTGGCCATTAGAGTGCAGAACTGTTCGAAGAGACGGTTTTTCTGGGTGTAAATACGAGGTTAAAGCAATCTGGAGGTACGGCCACGCAACTTGGCTGTATTTTACTTTTGATGTCCGCTTTAAATGGCGCACTTATATCGAATCGCGATAAAAGTCCTGTGACGACTATGAATGCGAATCCTTGCACTAATCTCTGACCTATGCAGGTCCTCTTACCAGTGGAGAAAGGCACGAAATGCTCGGGTCTCATGACTCTTGTAACCATTGTATGATCTTGTTCCGCTTGCTTTAAGAATCTCTCCGGCCGAAATTCCTTGCAATCTTGTCCCCAATAAGATTCGCCCAAATTCAGATCATAATTGTTGACGAAGATGACGGTATCTTTTGCAATCGGATATCCGCCAATATCCGTCTCACAAGTGGCTACGTGCGGCACAATTGGCGAACTCGAGACTCTAAGCGTTTCCCAAATTACAGCCTCCGTATAAGGCATGCTCAGTCTATCATTTAACGAAACCAGCTTCAAACCATTAACATTGGACTTTTGATTTAGGACGGCGTCACATTCCTCTTGAATCTTCGCCTGGACATTGGTATGCGAAACTGCATTGGCTAAAATCATCATAACCAAATTTCCGATTGCCGAGTGCCCACCCAAAAAATCTTCCAATTCGAAAATAATATGTTGCCAGGAGAGCTCGGACTCTGTACTTTCTAGATGAAGTAACAGAGCATCGGTGAAGTCCCGGGGCACTCCATTTTCCAAGTCCAAGCTCGCGCGGCGAGGCTCAATTATTTGTTTGAGAATAAAGCTACGTATCTCAGTTGCCCAGTTATTCAAACGATGCATGTGTCGAGTGTAAAAAATCTTGAGCCAAGGCAAAAAGTCCACGGCATAACCTTGGTTGATGTCCCAAAATATTTCATCGAAGATGCGTACAACTCGATTAAATTTCTCATCATAATAACCAAAGCGTGTAGAGCACATATATTGAGTGAACATATTGCCGATCGCTGTAAGAATTACAGGTTTGACCGGACGCTCACCTTTGAGGATTGGAGCATTCGCTTGGTGGCTTAAGACATTGAGAAGCTGTAACATTTCGTCGACGGCGACACGAGATAGTTCCTCTTGCTGAGAACTGCCACCACGAGGAGAGCAAAAACTACGAGCAATCGATCGCCGCTTACGTTGAAGATCCGACCAATCGCATAAAGCTAGAGCTGAAATAATAAAAGTTTTGTCATTAGCAAATTTTATCCATATTTATCCATTAGCTACTACTACACGTTCGCGCTCATTGAATTTATAAATACATACAATTTCGTACGATTAGTATCCATAATAAGTGTATGAAAAGCAAATTAACAAGACACACGATCATCAATGCTAATCACATCGAGGCCAATAAATCAACAATATAATTATCAGTTAAGTACTGAATTATCGGTTTATTTAAAAAAATTACAAACGCTTCAAAAACATAAGAGATATGTAAATTTTACACAACGTCAATTATAAATAAGACAATTGATGTAACATTGGTAGTAGGCAAATACTATTAATGTTGTATTAATCAAATTGGTAATTTGGGTCGATAAATAAGAAAATCTTGGCAACTTAAAATATATCTACGTAATAGTAATATTAATATTAAACAAATTCAAATATTGTCATTTCTATAGTTTCTAAAAAACAGTGAAACAACTATTTTAGTTTCTCATAATAATATGATTAAACTATTAAAAACTGCATCAAATGGGCAATAAATAAATACAAATATCGATATATCGATATATATATATATATATATATATACATATATATGCATATACATATACGATTAAACTTGCATAACATGTGGAGATGAGGGTAAAATGAACTAACAATAGCGAAATGATTAGTAATTAAAATGCATTTAGAGATAGACATTGAAATAATTTACAGCGCGTAGTTTAGTCCAGTCGAGCAGTATGTTTATGTGGAGAGGCAGTATTTAATAAAATAATGTTACATGTGGTAGTCGCTATAAAGGTCAAGGTTGATTCTACAGCAGATTTACATAGATTTCAGAAAAAATGGCAAGGTTTTATGTCACGCATAAATATATGATAAATACTGTCGAAGAAGGTGAATACCTGTTTCGATTAATTGAAAAGCACTCGAAAGACTGAATCTGCGAAATGAATCACGGCATAATTAAGAAGAAAAGGAAGACAGAGATAGATAGATAGATAGATATATATATATATATAGAGAGAGAGAGAGAGAGAGAGAGAGAGAGAGAGAGAGAGAGAGATAGAGAGAGATAGAGAGAGGTTATGCGCGCTCGTGTGCGTGCGTGCGTGCGTTCGTGCGTGTGAGGGAGGGATGGGATGGGATGGGATGGGATGGGGGATGGGGGATGGTATGGGATGGGGGATGGGACATACAAAGGGGCAGAGGAGAGGACGGAGAAGAGGAAGAAGAAGAGGAAGAGGAGGTGGAGGAGGATGGTAGGATGGATGGTAAAGAGGATGAAGAAGAATAAATGGAGATAAGAAGACATTGAGAGTGAGAGAGTGTGAGAGTGTGAGAGTGAGAGAGTTAGTGAGTGAGAGAGTGAGAAAGGAAAAAGAAGAATAATCATTATTCTATTAGATATGGTCGAAAATATTTTAACATGTAAGAGATTGGCTTCTGCGATTAGCGGTGGTTTGAACTTGACCCGAAAGAACATCATATCTCAGCATCGTTCCGCATTCTAAGGACGTTGAGTAAGCAAAGAAGATCCGATCGAGGGTAAATAGCGAACTACACTCGACGTAGTTCTTGACCTTGGTCTTAAAATTTCAGTCACAATCCTCCACCACAAGTCTTTTATCATCTATGACCACGCCTTCGAATCCGAATTGTCCTCATGTGATGGGGTTTCGAGACGTAACCAAAGAGAATATTACCCCTTCCCAACCTATCCCCGCTCCCTCTTGGGCGCTCCATCCCTTCTGGGCTTGTCCTTCTCCATCGACGAATTTAACAACAAACGAGCATTCGAAACCGAAACAAATCGCTTCGATCATTATTACAATATAATTATTATGAATAATATTATTCGTAATAATGATAATTTACTCCTCTATATCGGTAACAGGTAAGACCAACATTAAATCATAATACTCTCAATGTCAAATTAATTATTAAGGTAACCATAAATTTTAATATTTACCATTTAATACGTTCTTAAGAATTATGTTATAAACAATATTATAAAATATTTTATATATATATATATATATATATATATATATATATATTTCTTTTATTGAAGTATGAATTAAGACTTTGAAACTTATGCAGAATATTTAACGTTAATATTTCTTCTTTATTTCAATTTTTTTTTTTTTCCTTTTTTTTCTTTTTGTTTAAATTTTATTTCACATAATGCCAGATTGAACGTCCGATAACTATTATATTAAAATGTAAATAGTTAAATATAAATTGAGGCAAATTAAACCATGATATATTAGATTTTTTTTTAATCTTAAAAAATAATAATATAATAAAATTGCTAAATAAATAATAGTCATTGTGTTTTATACTATTGCATGTTTTGCAACAAAAATGTTGCAGATTTTTGTTGTTTGTATTCGGCAGGTACCAATATAATTGCTATGCATATGCGTTATAAATATCAAGCGAGATGTTATTGAAATCCATTATGGCGTCAGGATAATAAAAAAAAAAAAAAAAAAAAAAAAAAAAAAAAAAAGATCTGGATCGGTCGTTCATAAATTTACAGCTTTCCTAGAGAAATCATACCATTCACACCATTATAATTTATACTTTAAAGCACAATCTATCCTAATAGATCGAACGAAACAACCGGCCACACCACATTGACTAAGATATAAACGAGGAGACCAAGTTTCAAAAATAACCCCTTTGACTGCTCCCTTTGACTGCTTAAACATATTACCACGCGATAAATGTGCGTAGGCTGCAAGTCGCATAAAGCAGCAGAGGTCCTTTGTGGCCCAATTCAGAATGTGCTGATATTGCATGCAGCCGCTTTACGATCACTCTAAAACGCACAGAATTTCAATTTAAATGGTAGCACCCCCCGGTGCCTCGGCAGCGCTAAGTTTAGCCGTGTGGGGCGCGTCGGGCACTCGTCGCCGTCACCCAAGTTATTCGCTAAATCTCGCGGACTCGAGATTCCCCATCGCTATCGCGCGAAGCTTGCGCAAACGAAAAGGACTTGGCGCCTCATACGGATGCGCGAGCTCTTGCTCGCCGTCACGCATGCGCGGATAATCGAATTCCAAGAAGTAGCCGGGGAGTCTGAGTCTCTCGTGGTTAATTCGACTATAAAGGAGGCTATTACACGGGCTCGTTTCGCTTCCTGCTCCCGATCGACTACTCGCCGCGACCAGTCGTCAGCAACCGGCCGTGTTACATGCGCACACATATAGTGCTCGGTACGTCAGCCCCCTCGGCTTTCTTATTATTTATACTTGTTACCCGCGCTAAGCCCAGCCCCAGCCCCGGCACCTGGCCACTCGAGAATGCCAACCTCGGCGGAAATTAAGAGTAACCGGTCCGATAGCAATTTTCAGCTGACATGTACCGAGTTTGTCCGCTGGACAAAAGTTTATACACACGCGAGAGAGCAAGCGGCATCCCTCCCCCACCACCTCCACCTCCTCCTCGTGCCACCGCGTCACCCCCCTCCCCCCAATCGCCCTCCCACTCCCCAAAATCGCTCCCTCGCTCCCTCTCTCTCTCTCTCTCTCTCTCTCTCTCTCTCTCTCTCTCGGTTTCTCTCCCCCAACGACACCACCGCCGCCACCACCGACATCACCGCCCCCTTTTTCTCTTTAACAGCGGCGCGGCTTTTCGATCAGTTACTACGCGCGGATAACTCGTCGAGGATCGTGAAATTTTCACTTTTATACGAGAAAGCTATATTGTAAAATCGAAATCGCAAACGTGACACACTTATTAAGAATGATGGTGCGAGCGAGAAAATTTATCGCATTCAATTTATTGCGTCACTTTTCGCCAATCCTCGGCATTGTTAGCAATTGAAATTAAGTATCTTAATACTCATGATACATATAGGATTTTTATTCTTTTGGCGCGAATTCCGTGAATGCGAAATAAAAAAAGAAGATGAATAAGAAGAAGAAGAAGAAGAAGAAGAAGAAGAAGAAGAAGAAGAAGAAGAAGAAGAAGAAGAAGAAGAAGAAGAAGAAGAAGAAGAGGAAGAAGAAGATGATGATGATGATGAAGCAGAAGAAGAAGAAGAAGAAGAAGATGAAGAAAAAGAAGATGAAGAAAAATTAATAAATAAAAAGAAAAAAATACCTCTACCACTTCCCAACTGCTCTTGTTTATATTCGAATGAGTGCTTCTTTGCGTTCGGCAAAAGGGTCAAGGGCTGATGCACCATAATTTTTTTACATTTTACGTATTAAAAGTAGGTTACGTCTGCATTCCGTCACGCAATAATCATTTTGAAGAAAGGGAATATGCAGGACCTCGATACGTCCTTAATATTAGAAGCAAATAAAGGTCGTAAAAGTAAAAGCGATATACTGACACGATTTAAGCGCGGCTTTGGTTCAATTCCTTGAAATTTTACTCATCTCTATTATTTTTCTTTTTTCTTTTGGTTTTCTTTGTTTTTTGTTTTGTCTTTTTGTTTTGTTTTTGTTTTTATCTTAATTATAAGCCAAAACTTATTAGTTTGTTATCGTTAAATTCCTTAATCTCAAGATAGGCAAGGAGAGGTGAAATTGAAGTAAAATTCAAATTCATTACTTAAGCCACCAATTAGCGCAAAAAGCAAATATGCAAAAATATATATATATACATATATGTATATATAATTATAATAATTATAATATATAGATTTATGATTATTTAAAGGAATTTATAATTTGCCCCATTTTCCACGACAACTCTTTCTTTCATTCCGTATTAATCAACCAATGCGCTATCTCTTTTTCGTCTACAACTCAAGGTTACTACTGTTCCGTTAACCTATATTTGCACCTTCCGTATTCAATCCCTAGTTTTAGTAGCAGTTGGTTGCATTATGTATTTAGCCCATTATTCTTTATAAAATATAAAAGAATTAATTATTAATCAAACATTAAAATAATATAAATTTAAAATTCTATTCTTATCACACACGCGCGCACATATTTATTTATTTAACACTTTAGGCTTATTTCTGACC